AGACACAGACAGCACCCAAGCCCGGGTCAACGCGAAGGATCCTGCAAGATCCTGCAGGATCCTGCACCCATGCCCGGGTCAATGCGACCCTGGCCCTGCAGGATCCCGCAAGATCGGGCGCTCTGGCTGACCCCCGTTTGCATTGACCCCCGTCTCAAGGCTCCCGAAACACACGCGGGGGGGTCCCCCACCCGACGGGGGTCAGCGTCAACCTGTCCGCGCCCGCGCCCGTGGGCCGGGGGTCTGGCTTTTACGGCGGGCGGCGTGGGCCGCGTGAGGTCGACGTCGCGCAGCAATGCTTGCCCACAACGGGTGCGTCGATTTGAAGCTGTCGGCGGAGGTGGCGCCCCCCCCCCCCCGCGTATTGCCAAACGCAGAGTGCGGGGAGGGCGTTGGATAAGGAACCTTTGGGTAGATAGCTCAGGCCGCCGAACAAAGAATTAATTTCACATATTGGGGGGGTTCTGAAGACTCCCTGAAGTTACTGATGCCGCTACTGTGAGGGCATTGGGCCCAGATCCCAGTGGGCCCTGATCAAACCACGACAAGACATGTTTGGCAAATGTCCGCCTCCAGGGGCCCTCGCAGGGCCCTGGGACCGCCAACACGAACGGTCCAAGATGAAAACAACTGTCCCGGGGAATGGGTCGAGACCTCCGGGGTCCACACTATGAAGCAATCGTGACGTCGGAGGTCAGAGGAGGAGGGGCCATTGGATGAGGAATCCAGGGCCTGAAGCCAGTGGAACTCCAATCGCCGGTCGGCCATTGACATCACCGTCGCCCTCATCAGATCAGGAATCCTCCAGGGCTCCCAGGGTCTGCAGCCTCCTGGGCACATTTCTCAACGAAGGCTCCGGCCGTACTCCGTGGACCTGCCCCAAGGGGCGTTCTGATTCGAATTTCGAGGCGAATCTGGCCGCGGCGACGAGGCCTCCCACGATGGCCACAAAAGCGAAGACGAGGCCAGAGCAGCGGAACACGGCGGTCGGAAGGAGTAGGTAAGAACATGACGTGGGAAGGCGGATCAAGTAGATTGGGTTCCGGCCCGCCCAAAGAAAAACAGAACACAGCAAAATCATAGCGGCTCTTGAAGTAGGAAGACGCCTGAAGCAGCTTGGGATCTGGGCACCCGAAAGGACCTCCTTTCAACGACCGGCGGGTATCGGCGTCTTTCCTTCCTCTGCGCACCGCGGTGCATGGCGAGGTTGGTGTCCCCTCTGGGGGGCTCGGGCTCGGGGCCCTGCGCCTCCGCGCCGCACGCGCGCAGGACCTCGTCCCTGGCGGCCCTCAGCTCAGCCAGCAGCGGGCCCTGCGCGAAGCGTCGCAGCTCCAGCCTCAGGCCGGCCCTCGTCAGGGGCCCGTCCAGGCCCGCGTCCGCCGCGGCGTCTGCGGCCCCGGCGTGCGCCCAGCCGACAGCCCACTCGCCAGAGGACGAAGAGCAGGGGGACCTTCCGCCGTCGGCTCCGCCAGGGGCGGTGCCCTCGAAGGCTGCGCCTGGCAGCCCGAAGCCGTGCATCGACTCAGGCCGCCGCGCACCTCGGCATGCCGAGAGGCCGCAGAGGAGTGCGAGCGCGAGCGGCCACCCGGCCAGGGTGGAGTTGGAGCGCTGGCCAGGTCCCACGCGGCGGCCTGGAGCCGACAAGCTTGCTCAGGATGGCTGCGGAGGAGGGAGGGAGGGGAGGAAGAGGGGGAGGAGAAGGAGGCGGAGGAGGCGTAGGAGGCGGAGGCGGAGGAGGAGGAGGAGGAGAAGGAGAAGGATCGTGATTGTGATGGTGTGATGGTGTGATGGCGATGAGAGGGATCGGGATGGATATTGACACGGAAGTGGGTATGATGCTGTGGAATGTGAGGATGGTGATGACGATGATTGTGGTGGTACGGATGAAAAAATGGATGGATTGATGGATGGATGAATGAATGCGTGCATGCATGCATGTCTGTATGCATGCATATCGGTAGGCTGGTGTATGTGAACGTATATGTGTGTATATGGACGTGCGTATGTATGCCTGTCATGTACGCAGGTGTGTATGTTTGTACGTATGTATGTACGTGTGTATGTATACATGCATGCATGGATGCATGCATGATGTATATATGTATGTGTCTACGTGTGTATATGTGTATGGGTGTATGTATGCATGCATGAATGTATGTATGTAAGTAGGTAGGTGTTTATGTATGTCGGTGTGCATGTGTATATATATATATGTGTGAAGGCATGCATGTATGTAAATATGAATTGATGCACGCATGCATGTATGCATGCTCCTCGAGAAATTCGGCCCTGACCAGAGCCGGGACGATTGAGACACGAATGGTAACTAAAAGTGTTGGAAGCGTGTACGCGAACGCCACTGAACTACCGCATGCAAATTCTGTAGCCACAAGTCATTCAGGGCTTGGGGATGTGAGGACAACGAGAGAAGAAGGATTCCCATCTCCAGGGAGTAAACCTTTTGCGCGTGGCCTTGACGCCTGCGTCCGAGAGCTTGCTCCTGAAGGCGGAGGAATCAGGCGTCGCGAAAATGAAGGGCCTGCGGGCTGAGACGGGATGGACCCCTCACACTCAGGAGTTCAAGATGACCTGCCCAACGATACTGCATCTGCACGAGATATTCGTCCTGACCGAGAAATGCCGAGTCTTTCTGGGGCCGCGTTGATCTGTTCGTAGGTCCGAACCTGAACGCATTCCAAGACTTGTTGTTGACGTTTGTGTTCCCAGCCATCCTGTGATGTTGAGTCCTCGTTTTGAAGAGACAGCGCCCCGCGTCTCACTCGTTCCTCCTGCTGCCCTCTCCCTCCTCCCATCCTCCCCCGCTTAGGCATACCCCTCACACGTTTCGTGGTCCCGAAGGGAGCTCCACCAAATGCCCAGATGCCAGCGCTCGCATGCGCCCACTGCACTCATGTTGGCACACCCCTCACACGTTTCGTGGTCGCATATGGAGCTCCACCGAAGACCCGCATGACAGCGCTCGCCCGCGCCCACCGCACACATGTTGGCACACCTCTCACACGCTTTGTGGCCCCCTAGGAAGCTCCAGAACCGGCGCAGATGGCAGCGCTCGCATGCGCCCACCGCATCCATTTGGGCACACCCCTCACACGCTTCGTGGCCCCATAGGGAGCTCCTCCGAAGCCCCAGATGCCAGCGCTCGCACGCGCCCACCGCGCCCATTTTGGCACACCTCTCACACGCTTTGCAGCCCCATAGGGAACTCCACCGAAGATCCACATGCCAGCGCTCGCATGCGCCCACCGCGCCCATTTTGGCACATCCCTCACACGTGTTGTGGCCCCATAGGGAGCTCCACCGAAGCCCCAGATGCCAGCGCTCGCATGCGCCCACCGCGCCAATGTCAGAACACCCCTCACACGCTTTGCGGCCCTATAGGGAGCTCCACCACATGCCCCAGATGCCAGCGCGCGCATGCGCCCACCGCACCCATTTTGGCACACCCCTCACACGTTCCGTGGCCCCATGGGAAGTTCCACCAAAGGACCAGACGCCAGCGCTCGCATGCGCACGCCGCATCCACTTTGGCATAGGGTCTGCCCTCCTTTCGCGCGGGATGCGAGGAAGCTTCGCCCCAGCCTCTCTGCACTGCGCCGTGGCCCGGCTGCGCCGCGGCTCTGCGCGGGGGGGGGGGGGGGGGCGCCCATCTGACGGCCGCCCCCACCGGAGCCAACCTGCGGGCCCTCGGCTCAACTGCCTGGCGGCGCGCACAGGGGGGTTGGGGGGAAGGCTTCTTAGAAGCAGGCTGCTTCCCAGAAGGCGCGGGCCTCGCATCTGCAGACAAGGCCCGCGCCGTCTGAGAGGCAGGGGTGCCTCTAAGAAGCCTTCCTCCCTCCCCCTGCCCCCCTTTCTGCGCGTGGCCGATCCTCCGCACGCTCCGCTCTCTGGGGCAGGCCACGGGGAGCAGGCTGAGGAGGGAGGGGGGAGGAGGGGGGGGGCATGGGAGGCCTCGAATTTCAGGACGACGACGACGAGACCGACGACACCGACGACGACGACCGCGACGACGACGACGACGACGACACCGACGACACCGACGACGACACCGACGACGACGACGACGACGACGACGACGACGACGACGACGACGACGACGTCACGACCGCTCGCGCCGCGACCGCCGGTGCTGGCGGCGCCCTCTCGCGCGGAGCCGAAGCGGAGAGGCGCAGAGGCAGCGGGCGTCCTCGTTCCAGCCCTTGACCGTCCCGACCTCGGCCGCTCTCCGTGTGCTCTTTTTCTTCTTCGTCGCCGTGCTCTTCTCAACATGCGATGCCATCAATGCGCTTTCAAACTTGTATTTGCTTGTGCGTTATGTGTGGTGTACATGCAATCTTACCGCTACATGCATACACATGCATACGTGTGTATATATATAGAGTATGAATATAATTGTATATGTATAGTCGTAGTGTGTATGTATATATGTCTGCATGTGTACATGCATGTGTATACGCATGTATAGGCATGTATCATCTCATTTCGTTTATTGGTTCCCCTCCACCCTCGCGCAACAGACCAACACCAGAGACGAGCCGCCGCATGTGCCCCGGCCGGTCGCTGGTGCCAGGGCTGGGAGGCGAGAGGAGGCGGGAGAAATTGGCACGCACGGCAAGGGTGGGGAAGATACCGCCGTTGGCGTAAAACAGCGCCCACCAGGCATAATGGACAACGCTGCTGTGTTCAGAGCCCCCGTGCCCCTCAATCTCAATGTTGAAAACAGGGCTGCCTTGGCGGTGGGGTCGCGGACGTCTCTTCATGCCGATGCGTGCCCCCCCGACAGCGGCCGCGAACGCAGCATTGCCATAGGGGGGGTCTGGGGGCGACACCGTCGAAGCAACGTCTGTGGATGGGCGACGCCAGCAGCGGCACGGGCACGATGCCACGCAGCAAACGCTCTCCAAAACCGACAGCGGGCACCCAGGCGCCACCGTCGAAACAACGTCTGTGCATGGGCGCTTCTTTACGCCAACAAGCGGTGCGGGCACGATGCCACGCAGCAAACGTTCTCCCAAGCCGACAGCGGGCATTCTTGGGCAGGCTGGACCCTCTTTCGGGCGGACAACAACTGCTGCCGGTCTCCGAGCCCGTTCTCTCCGTGTCCACCGGTCGGAAGACGTAGGCAGAAACATGACATAGAGAAAGGTGTTGAAAGTACATTGGGTGCCCGCCCGCCCCCTGAGGAGGACGGAGAAGGTGAAGCCACTCGATCATCGACGTATAGGACGGCGCTTTTAAAGTAGATTGGAATTTGGGAATCAACTTCTGTAATCTGGAGTTTGGGAATCAGCTTCTGTAATTTGGAAAGTAAACTGGAATTTGGGAATGTGGAACTTGGACCTTTCAGATACTGCACCTTCTTTCAACGACCGATGGGTACCGTCTCCGGGGCAGGGAGGCAGGGAGGAAGGCGGGGGAGAGCGGGCCCCGGCGAGCGCCAGGGCCCGCAAGGAGGAGGCGCGGGTCCGGGGGGAAGCGGGTCCGGGGCCCTGGAAGGCCTTGCCCAGGACCAGCCCCGGGGATGCTGCCAGGAATCACGAAAAACCTCGGGAGCCGCTTCCCTCAGGACCCCCTTTCCTCCGCGGTGGCAGAGGAGAGGCGGGGGGAGGAGAGGGGGGGGGGGTCGAAAGCGGAGGGGGAGGGGGAGGAGAGGAGAGGGGAGGGGAGGAGAAGAGAGAGAGAGAGAGAGAAAGAGGGGAGAGAGGCAAGATAGAGAGGGGGAGAGGAGAGGGCAGGGGAGGAGAAGGGAGAGGGGGGAGAGGCAAGTTAGGTGCGCTCGCGTCATATCTGACGTCCTGCCCCTCCCTCCCATCCCTTACCATGGCATAGATATCCTCTCTTTTCGCACAGTCGGATGCCGAGCAGGGTAATGATCGCGAGAGGGTGCGCGATGCATGGTAGAGCACGGCATGGCATGGCGCAGAAGAGCACGGCCGACCGTAGCATGCCATAGCATGGCGTGGCATTGCGAAAAGAAGCATTGCATCACACAGCAGCGCCACGCAAAGCATGGCATCGCACAGCGGCGCAGAACACAACACCGCACAGCATGTCATGGCATGGCGCCAGGTTCCTGAGAGTGTAAGCTGATCATCGTCGAGAGGTCTGGGCCAGTCTGGAGGCGTGGCTCCATGTCTAGCTCCCTGGGCTCCCCGAAAAGCTCCACACAAGGCGGGACTGATGGAAAGCACCCGCTGGCTCTGCTTTCAACATCGCCTTCTCAAAGCAGAAACGGGGCTCCCGCTTGATACTTCCTGAAAGCGACGACGCCCCAAATGGGGGGGGGCTTCTGCGGCCCAAGAAATCAACGAATCGGCACCGAATGTGTAATCACTTCCGATGGTATCTTCCCGGTGGCATTTTCTAGATTCTGGAAGGGAGGAAGGCCAGCGCTGCAGCGGGAGCACGGGTCGGAACGAGCGGAAGCGCGGAAATGAGGCCAACGCTGCAGCGGGAGTACGATTCGGAACGAGCGGAAGCCCGGAAATGAGGCCCCAGTGCTGTAGCGGGAGCAGCATTTCGAAACTTATCCTGGCGACGTGCCCAACCCCTGCGCAACACGGGGCATGAGCAGCTTGGGAGACGTTATACGGAGGTGATGACGTGACATGGGCGCATCTACTTCTGCAAGCGGCATTCGTGAGGCTCGCAGCCCCCCAAGGATGACGATGTCCCGCTCAGATCTGCCTGGTGCCTCGCTCCGCAGGACCCACCAGCAGCCCTCGAAAGTGGCGATGGTTTCGCAGATCGCAGCCCCCCAAGGACGGCGAGGTCCCGCTCAGATCCGCGCGGTGCCTCACTCCGCAGGAACCACCAGCAGCCCTCGAAAGTGGCGACAATTTCGCAGATCGCAGCCCCCCAGGGACGGCGAGGTCCCGCTCAGGCCCGCGCGGTGCCTCACTCCGCAGGACCCACCAGCAGCCCTCGAAAGTGGCGACATGTCGCATATCGCAGCCCCCCCCCCCCAAAGACGGCGAGGTCCCGCTCAGGTCCGCGCGGCGCCTCACTCCGCAGGACCCACCAGCAGCCCTCGAAAGTGGCGACAATTTCGCAGATCGCAGCCCCCCGGGACGGCGAGGTCGCTCAGGCCCCGCGGTGCCTCACTTCCGCAGGACCCCACCAGCAGCCTCGAAGTGGAAACGGTTTCGCAGATCGCAGCCCCCCAGGGACGGGAGTTCCTGCTCAGGTCCGCGCCGGTGCCTCACTCCGAGGACCCACCAGCAGGCCTCGAAAGTGGCGACAGTTTCACAGATCGCAGCCCCCCAGGGATGGCGAGGTCTAATTTGGGTCCGCGCGTGGCGTCACTGTGCTGGGCCCCCCAGCAGGCCTCGAAAGTGGCGACAGATTCACAGATCGCAGCCCCCCCAGGGATGGCGAGGTCTAATTTGGGTCTGCCCGTGGCGTCACTGTGCTTGGCCCCCCAGCAGGCCTCGAAAGTGGCGACAGTTTCACAGATCGCAGCCCCCCCAGGGATGGCGAGGTCTAATTTGGGTCTGCCCGTGGCGTCACTGTGCTGGGCCCCCCAGCAGGCCTCGAAAGTGGCGACAGTTTCACAGATCGCAGCCCCCCAGGGATGGCGAGGTCTAATTTGGGTCCGCCCGTGGCGTCACTGTGCTGGGCCCCCCCAGCAGGCCTCGGAAGTGGCGACAGTTTCACAGATCGCAGCCCCCCAGGGATGGCGAGGTCTAATTTGGGTCCGCCCGTGGCGTCACTGTGCTGGGCCCCCCAGCAGGCCTCGAAAGTGGCGACAGTTTCACAGATCGCAGCCCCCCACAGGGAGGCGAGGTCTAATTTGGGTCTGCCCGTGGCGTCACGTGCTGGGCCCCCCAGCAGCCTCGAATGGCGACAGTTTCACAGATCGCAGCCCCCCAGGATGGCGAGGTCATAATTTGAGTCTGAATCTGCCCGTGGCTCACACTGTGCTTGGGCCCCCCCAGCAGGCCTCGGAAGTGCGACAGTTTCCGAAAGTGCGACAGTTTAACAGATTCGCAGCCCCCCAGGGATGCCCCCCCAGGGAATGGCCTAGGTTTAATTTTCTCTTGCACAGCTGTGCTCTAGAGCTCGGACATCTTTATGTTCGTCGTTCGTCGTGTCGTTCGTCCCCCTCGCCCCCCCTGTCCACGCTTCCCAGGGTAGCCCCCCTGGGCCACGGAACCCTTTATTTTCGTCGTTCGTCGTGTCCTTCGTCCCCCTCGCCCCCCCCATTGTCCACGCTTCCCAGGGTAGCGCCCCTGGGCCACGGAACCCTTTATTTTCGTCGTTCGTCGTGTCGTTCGTCCCCCTCGCCCCCCCCCCGTCCCCCTCGCCCCTCCCCCTGTCCACGCTTCCCAGGGTACCCCTCGCCCCCCCCCCCTGTCCACGCTTCCCAGGGTAGCCCCCCTGGGCCACGGAACCCTTTATTTT